GCTCCTAAACCATCTGAAACAGGTTTCTGTGTATTCTCAAATAAACAGCACTTTGTTTACCTGAGTAAAACTGGGGTTTGGGGCTTTATTGAAGTGAAGTACTTGACACACGAGTTCTGACAGCCTTCCAAGTCCCACACTCATTACAGTGGGTATTCTCAGCTCCTTAGTCACTGCCAGCCAAGCTCTACCACTGCTGCGACTCAGAATCAAGTCCTTCACCAGCCAGTGGCCCTGTGTTTCATCCAGTACAGGTACTGTTTCCACTGATTGACCGCTAGACCTTGTCTGTCACAATTGGCCCCTCTGCTAAAAAGGACTCCACACTCTACAGGCCCTGATGAGTCACATGTTACCCACTCCTAAGGTGTAATGAATCCTCTTTCTTATACTTAAAAGCATCCTGCTCTCTTCATTTCAGGCAAGTTGCATCGTGTTTCCCATTGAGCCGAGGTAGGCTCAGAATAAATGCTCTCATTGCCACGTTGCTGAAGCCACACAAAGTCAGCTGTGGTCTGAGGAAGTAGGAGAGCCATGCCCATGAAAGTTAGGTCTGACCGAAATGTCCTGCTGAACATGTATCCCTATTCAATAGCTCAAAAAATAAACAATACTACCAGAAACAAAAGCAGGTTAGCCCAGATTCAGCCCTAACCCATTTACTCAAGACTGTTCAGTAGAGCCTTAGGTGTGCAGAGAAAAGTCTCACTGTTCAATCTAGTGCTGCCCTCAACAGCAAACCCACTGAAGAAAGAAAGTGTTCAGGTTTTAATAAAACCATCTCATAGAACTAGACCTTCAGTTCTTCATGGGCACTTGCTAAATGAAAAATGGTGCACTCACAGCAATAAACAGCTGAGTACCTGCCCAGGGAGTGCAGGGGGGTGCGACTGATGCCTCTTGCTGCCCTGTAGCATCCAATTCCTCCACAGGTCAGTCCAGCCGCCAACAGTTTTGAAAACTGCTGTTTTGGAAAGCCTGAGATGCAACTCTCTGTCTTCTGGTATTGCTGTCAACTGGCCTTGGACTCCTGGCTCAAACAACCCACCTGCCTTGCCTCCTCAGCTAGTGGGACCCCATTATATCCTATTTGCAACCGTTTCAGGGGTCCTGTAGGGAAGAGTACATTAAAACTTGACCCTGCATCCTGATAGGTGTAAGAGGCTCCCATGGGCTAAGAGAGCAGGGTGCAATTGTTCTCAATATTTAAATCAGCCAGGAGGGCTCTCCTGACCTGATCCCAACTGTCACATGCAGGTTCTCACCTGGCCCAGGCCACTCTGCCACCCTTGGAGCACTGCCAGAGTGAGTGGGGGAGCTGCCTGATTCTTTGGGGAAGGCGCTGGGTGAGTCACTGGGTCCAGGAAAGGAAAAGAGGGTTCTTTACCTATTACCTTTGTACCCTTCCCTGGAGGTCCCCGGCTGCTGCCTACCCTTCTTACACCCCTCCCCCCATGTCACTTCGCACCAGAATTTTAAAGTAGACTTAAAGGGCGAATGAGGCTGTGCTTCTCAGTCCCAGTGAGTGGTCCTCTAACCCAGCTCCCAGAAGCTGGAAAATACGCGTCTAAACTTCCCCCCTCCAGCGAGGGGACAGGGTACTCTGTGACACCTTCACCTGTGCCCTGGGGTCCCGCGCTCTCCCTCCTTGGCGCCCGCACGCAGGCGCCTAGGTGTGGAAAAGCAAAGCAGCCCGAATCTCAGCTCAGACTGAGGTCTGGTCTCTCCGCACCGGGAGCTGTGTGGCCCCGAGTTCAGCCCCAGTGCCTTTCTTGGAAAGGTAGCTCGAGGAGGTAAAGGTCAGTCTCCTCCCGGGGAGGCTGCCTGCTGAACTTTCGGTTAATTTAAAACTTTTGGTGGCGGCACAGAAACCTGCAGGCCACCGGGAGAAATGCCCCGAAGGAATATCGGGCCATGCCGGACCAAGTCCAACCCCGGATGCGCTCCCGCCCCGCGCCGCCCCTCAAGTCGGTCCCGGAGCCCGCCTGCCCCTGTCCCCCGCTGGATCAGCGCTGCTGCGGCTCCGGGCAGCCGGGTGGTCAGTGGGGTTGCTGCCTCACCTTCCTCGCGGTCTGGGCTCCGCCGGGCCGGGCCGGGGCGCTGCGCTCGCTGCAGCCGGGCGCCGACTGGAGGGGGCGCTGCGCTGCGACACCTGTCCTGCCGCGGCGCCTTTTAACCGCACCCCGAGCCCGCCTCTCCCCTCCTCCGGAGGCCGGGACGGAGGGCGGCTCCGGTTAGTGTGCCGCCCCCAGCGCCGCCTCCCAGCCCGCTCAGCGCGGGGCAGCCCTAGAGCCCCCGCCCGGAGAGCCCGGGTTGCCCGTGCCCCGTGTCCCCGCCCGCCTGAGCCCCAGGGCCGGCTTCCGCGGGGGTCTGCGGCTACTGTTGCTCCACGGCGACCGCGCCGGGAAGCATTGCGCCCGGAGCACCCTTGTTATTTTGCTGTTAGGAAAGCAGGCGCTCCAGGACGGAAGGTCGCCTGCGCAAGGGGGGAGGTTCTGGGATCCCAGTAACGGCTGTGGAATTTAGGGGCAGCCGGCGCCCCTAGAACTGGACACTTCCGACTCCCCGAATTCCCGATAGAATTCGATCTCTGTAAACAGTGTGCCAAAGCTAACAAGCCCCGGCCGCGGCGGTGACCACAGGAGCTGTGTAACCTGCCCTGCCTCCTCGGCCCGCACTGGGGGGTTTCAGAGGGTCGGGTTGGGGCTCCCCCGATGGTCGGAGATGGAGCGCAGCGCTGAGGCTCCAGCGCCCGCGACAGCACGTGTCGCACCTCCGACTCCTTGCCCAGACTTCGGGAAGCTCAGGGAGCGCGTTTGGGTGGGTGCTCCGAGGTCCTGGCGGGAAGCGGGCAGGCACAGGGCAGTCGCGCTAGAAATGAAGACGTGGAGCACAGACCGCGCCCGGGGACCTCTGTCTGGTCTCGTGTCGCGCCGAGACGCCGCACGCTTAGTTGGGCTTTGTCAGTGTGAAGTGCGATCCCCCAGACAGCAGAGCTAGTTGGCCTCGGGAACGCGCTTCCCATTATTTGCCCCACTAGGGCGAGGGTAGGACTTCTTTGCTAGGTTTCTGCTCTCCTGAAGCTCAAGTCTCAGCCTGTGAGGGAGCGTCCACTCTGGGACAGAGACGCCTACTTGGGCCGGAGAGGCGACTGAGCCAGCTCCGGAGCGGCGATGCGCCAAGGGGCCAGCGCTGCCTTGGGGGGCTCTTCCAGCTCTGCTCTCCAGGGCAGTGTTGTTCAGGAATCAGTCGAACTTCTGGTCAGGTTAGAACGAGGGAAGGCTCCAGAGTCACTGCAGGAAGCTGGCTGATGGAGATGGAAATTAAATATTGATTCAGGTTTTCCCTGAGAACCTTCGTCTTAGAGTTTAGTGCTCATGTTCTGATCCATCATAAGTTTACTTTTCCTTGGGTTCCTTGACATGCTTCCTGGGGGATCTGTTAACAACTGCGTGTTGTTGGCTAATTGTCACAGCCTCTTGGTAATTTTAGGATTTATAGTTAGAACTACAGCTCTGAAGTTTTAAATTCAGTGTTTAATTTTATTGTTTTGTATGATTTCTGTAATCGTTCTCTGTGTTGCTGTATTTCAACTAGAGTAGGGCAGGAAGATACATAAGTATAGCTATAGATATAAAGATATTTCAGCATAAAGGAGAAAAAGGAAGAGAGGTGAAGCAAGATAAGATTTGAATATTTGAAGTTCCCTGCAGATGAGTTTATACCCAGTTAGCAGAACACACCACAAATTAATGTTTCATTGAAATAAATCTTCAAAATGATTTCCTTTTGTAAATGTATCCATTAGGAATAAACCTTTTTCTTGCCCTGTTTTCACAAGTTCTAGTCCTTCAACATCCTGGCCCTACAGAAGCCCAAGCCCAAACTATCGTCCAAACACAATAGTGGAAGGCAGTAGCAACTCAGAGCACACCAGCTGCTGCCTGGCTCACCTCCGTTTCATCAACCTGTAGGAAGAATTACCCAACAGAGACAGATTTTACCGGGGATTGAACTCAGACCCTTGCCCTTGCCAGGGAAGCGCTTATTCCACTGAGCCATCTCCCTGTCCCCCAGAGACAGATTTTGATTTGGCTTGAAGCAAAACACTTCAGACTCTCCCAGGTTGGTTCTGAATGAAGCTAACAGAGTAAATAATGGCCAAGGAAGAGCAGGGACTTCAGGAGTAACTATAAATGATAAACTGAGGAATCTCCATGTTGGCCACACTTTGATGTGTCAACAGGTCAGAGACATGTGAGAGCTGCTTTTATATATGTTCAGTAGCTAATAGATAATTCAAGGTGATTGTAACTGAGCTGAACTTTTATGCAAATATTCCAAATGATGCACTTATGAGGTTATAATGTAAAAATGCTAACATTTAAAGTTATTTGATATTTTAATTTAATGGTTATTTTACAAATAAACCAAAAAGAAGAGAACTGACTATTGTGCAAGATACCAGGGCAAGAGAAATCATAATTCTTGACATTTTAATGAGCGATTGCAGGGCAAGAGAAATCATAGTTCTTGACATTTTGATGAGCGATTGCTTACCAGTTGCCTCCTGGGGCAAGCTCTTGAATTCCCCTTGGGAAGAGCACTCTGAGTACACATTAAAATGTCTTAGTTACATTGCTGACTCACAAATCTTATGTATGTGATGGCAGAAAATGCTGCAAGATGACTTGTGACAGCATGGAGCGCCTGTCCTACTGCTTGGGAGTGTTAGGACAAGTTGGACCCATTGAATTGGTTCTTCAAGAGCCACTAGTGATTGGGCCACACCCTTTTTTGACTCTGCTGTTGAAATAGTAATCATATTAATTAATAACTGGCAAAAAAATTATCCCTTCCCAAAATAGCAGTTGGAAACTGAAGAGCCTCTGGCAACTGTAGATAATGAATAAGAACCCACATGTGACCCTGTAACTTCAATGCAGGACAAATCTGCTGTGTCCCTTTTTAATTTTTGTGTGTGATTAAGGGGAACAACTGATCTCTGTGTCACTAAGTCACACCTGCACTATGTTTTTGGAAGTTGTTTGTGTCAAATCACTTAGGGGGAAAACAGTCAATTGTTTTATTCAAAGGGGAAAAATATTTCAGAGTTTGTAAAATTGATTGTTCTTCATTTTAAAATTAAAGATGCTACACATAAAACTTCAACTTTTAAGTCAGGACAAACAGCCACGCCTTTGTGTTTCTCATCCTATTCTTATTTTCACACATATCACAGAGAAATTAAAATTGCTGCATGTATCTCAGTTTTTTTTTTTTTTTTAAGAACCAGGGGTTGAACTCAGATCCTTGCATTTTCCAGTGACGCGCTTATCCTACTGAGCCATCTCCCTGGCCCCTGTATCTCAGTTTTAAGGCAGCAATAAGTTGTTCTCCTTGACTGTGTTGAGTGAGTGTGGGCTCTTGAGAATATATAAGTGTAGCTCTTTTATGATTAAGTAGACTGTGAGAAGCTACAAAGATATTTCTAAATATGTTTGCATCAAAAATACAAATCAGAAATGAACTCGGGTTGGTTTGTTAGAAATGATCATTTACTTATATTGTGCATAAAAACTCAATTCTATAACCTTATTCACATCGTGCATCATTCACAAAGAAGCAAAAAAGAGTTCTACATTCTAGTCTGTGTGACAGCAGCATTCTATATTATCCTGAGGAATTTTGGAACAAGTTAGGGAAACTGATCAAAGGCTACTATAGAAAAAAATGTCATACCGTCTGACCAAGAACTGCTGAGTCCCTCGTTACATTGCATCTGATGGACTGCAGTCGTTTTGCGTGAAATGCTAGTGTGGAATTCCCCGGATTTAACATCTTTGTTTTCTGGAGACGAGTGATTACAGGTCCTTTTTGCTCCTGAGGTCCCAACGGGTGTGTGTGTGTGTGTGTGTGTGTGTGTGTGTGTGTGTGTGTATATGTGGTGTTCTGTAACTTGCAAAAGCCCTTTTGCAGGATAGGAAGTGTTCGGGCTTTGCATCCAGAATCCAGTTTCGGTGTTGGCTGTTCGTGGAAACTTGTCCTTGAACTGTTTGAGAGACATTTCTAGTTCGGATGAAGTGTCCTCTGATTTAATCTCGGAAAATAAAACCCAAAATGTCTGGGGGAGGGGCCGTGGGGAAGAGCGCGCGTAACACCCAGAGCTCACGGTAGATGGCGCTGGGAAGACTCGCCGGACGCTTCGGACTGGTGTTTTGATGGGTGATCCTTCTTCCAGCCTCACGCTGCTGGGCTTGCCGGGTCGGTGGGCTGGGAGATTCTCCTCCCTCCTCCTCTCCCCTCCCCGTCCCTCGCCTGTCCTCCCTTCCCCTCAATAAAACAGAATAGAAAATATTGCCGGAAAGAATTTCTCCTAACAAGGGTAAATAATGCTGTGTGAAACGTAACCTAACTGTGTTCTGGGGCCAGTATAGGGGTCTGTCACAAAAAAAAAAAAAAAAAAAAAAAAAAAAAAAAAACCTCAACAACTTGGAAAGCCACTATTTATTCTACTTCCAAAACAACAGGCATGCCCTGTGGCTGCAGGTGAGATGGTTTATTATGAAGAGGAGAGCTACTGGGCCCCAAGAGCAGCCTCTTAGCTCTGCTGTCCCTCTTTAAATACTTTTCTGGCAATTCCAGCAAGCGCCAATCTCTTAAGATGTTCTTGTGGGCAGGCTGTCTAGAAATATTATTTCAGGTTGGAAAAAGACAACTTACCATTATCATTCTTTCCCCAGGAAGTCCTCTTTCTGATCTGAGTAGCAATAACAGTATTAGTTAGATCTTGTATTAAGTACATAAATTATTTATTTTAAAAGGCCTGTATAAGGAGTGACTGAAATACATGGTAAATATTTAAAGTCCGTAAATTTATTGCACATGTTAAAGGCACGTTACCATATATCCTACTTGGAATGCTTGCACTTACTTTGTGTGCACATCCTGTCATTTTTGCTGCTCTGTGGAGCACTTGTGGAGTCTTCTTTCGTGCGTGTGTACAAGATGTGACAAGAAAACAACGGGTGCTGCTCTTGAGTGCCACCCGACAGAAAGGCGGCCTCCTAAACGCGTCACCGTGCGTCCTCATCCACCTTCTTCAAAGCTCTGACACTTTTTTGCAGCTTCTGCTCTTCCCCAAAGTTAGAATGAACATGGAAGGTAAC